TAGGTCCGTGGCTACGGGTATTGGTTCAATTAACTACACAAAAACTAAGCAACAAGTTTTCATAATTGTTTAATATCTAAAATTGATTCAAACTCAATCAATCCACGGGACACCACTCAGCCAAAATCAATCATACATGAAAATGAAAAATTAAAACCAAATTCAAAGGGAAGCCATAATCAATCAAAAATCAATATATAGGAAACAAGAAGATTAAAACCCAAAAATTTTAAAAAAATACTTGGGATTCTAGGATGCTTGAGTACAGGCGACGAAGTTAGAGAAGAATTGAGGGAGAAGGCGAAGCAGGCCACCAAGCTCAATCTTAGCAAGCAAATCAGAAAATGTGGGTTTAATCAGTGAATGAAGCTCGGTAAAATGCAAATGATTCTGAGAAATGAACTAGGTTTGAATCAGAGAATCAAACCATGAACACAAGCACAACTATAACAACTAAGAAGGCAAAGATGAACTAAAGATACAAGCATGAGCACAATATAGAGATTCTGGGAATTTGAGATTTTCAAGTGCGTAGAGACAATGACAACAAAAAATAAAAGAAGAAAGGGTTAGACATAATTTTGAAATGCACATCAACACAAGTTATACATAGTAACAAGTGTGGATATAAAATTATGTACATTGGTTAAATGTACTAACCGGTGTAGTTATGTTGAAAAATAATTTTTTATAAATTAAAAAATAAATCTACATTGTTTTCACAAATAATCAGTGTAGATATCTCAAGAGTATTTTTGAAATATATATATATAGATATCTACATCGGTGCCATGAGTAACCGATGTAGATATCTCAAGAAATTTTTTTAAAAAATAAATATATAATATATTTATATATCAGTTTCACATGTAACTGATTTAGATATCTATATCTACATCGCTTATGCATAGAATTGGTATGGATATCATGTTAGATTTCTATTTATTTATAAAAATGTTACCATCTCCTATTTTTACACCATGTGCACTTGAATTGGTGTAGATAGATGGGTGGGTGTAAATGGCATGTTTTCTACTAGTATTTATTTTTTGATTGCTTACAGATATTTTTTTATTTGAAACAATCCTATTTAACATACAGTTAGATATTAAATGTGAGTAACTCTTCCAATAGATGGAGAATTGTTTTATATTTAAATTTTTTTAAAATTATTTTCATGTTTTATTTTAAAAAATAAGAAACATCTTAGAATTGTTTTTATTTTATTCTTAAATCATACTATATTTAACTATTGTAACTTGCTTCAGCTAAGGCCAACTATAGGTCACTATTATTAACTATTATCGATCACTACTATCAATCAATTTTTTAACTTTAAAATTATTTTTTAATTAATATAATCAAACAGGTTTTTAATTTTTTTGTTTTGAAAAACAATAACCAAACGAGCCCATAATTTAGTCTAGAAAATGACTGTTCACGGATCATAATATTGATGTGAACATACACTTTGATATGACTATTTGAGTATTTAGATAATAACAATGATTGAATTTGAATTAATTATTAATTACTAATATTAAAAATCATATAATTATAAAAAAACAAATTCATTTTTTTTTTGCCTTTTTCCTAGTGATATGAAGGTAAATTACTTTTAACAAAGTTATTACATAGCGATCCTTAAAAAATTCACGTGGAATAGAAGACTTGAATTGAGAGTTTTTCTTGAGATAGAAGTATCAATAAAGGCATAACCACCTCAAGTGACCTCTGATAAAAAAAAAAAAAAAATTCTCAACATTTTGTGTTGTGCATGTTTTGTGTCTTCATTGGCTCACAAGACCTTATCTTTCAAGCACTAGTTCACTTTCATATCCTTTTTAATACTCCTTCAGGTATTACATGCTCTCTATATTAAGTTTTATAAAACACTTTTAACCAAATTACATTTCTCAATATCTTAATTAATTATCTTTAAAATTACATTTTCTTTTTATATTTACAGTTGTTTGATAATACTTCTCAATTAGAAAATATTATTAACTACCACCCTGATTTTAGTTTTTAGAAAAACTTAATTGCAGTTTAAACCATCCAAAATGCCTTATACATATTTTGAACATGATATTTTTATAAAAATGCCTTTTAATATTAAAGGAAGGGAGTATAAAATTGAAAAAATGACAAAAAAGTTTCAAAAAGATCGATTAATTTAAGTTAAGTCCTAAGTGTCAAACTCTAAAAATTTGTAACTTAATCTCTCAATTTTACAATTGCATTGTGATGAATTTGTAACTTATTTTTTAAATTTTAACATGATTGAAGAATAAAAAAATTATCTCTCTTATTAAAATTTGGAATACAAGTTACAAATTTATCATAATAAAATTACAAAATTGAGAGATTGAGTTGTAAATTCTTAAAATTTAATACTTAAGGCCTAACTTAAATTAATTAGTCCTTTTCAAACCTCTTTGCCATTCTCCCTATAAACTTCCCTTAACTAATTCATGGAATCCAAAAAAAGGTACGTAAGCTTGTTATATTTAATTAATACCCTGTTCAAATCACAATATAAGGAATCTTTTAAAATTTTTATTTTATTTATTACTCTTTTTAAAAAATGATATATTGAAATTTCAATTGTCAATATGAAGACATTTATTTAGGATCTTTAATGAGGATTTAATTGAAATGATGTAAACTGTTTAAGTGGACCTTATATTTAGAACTTGAGAGAGTATATGTAGTACCTAATTAATACTCCTTCCTGTTTTCAATATAAGTAAATTTTAATCATTTCACATATTAAGTACCTTAAAATCAGTCAAGACGAGAATCATTTAATTGATCATGCCCTTTTTTCAAAAGTTCTTTTGGAGAAATTGTTTTTTTTATTTACTTGTGCTTTTAAAATATGGCAAGACATTAATAATTATTACTTTGTAATTGTACCTTTATCTATACTAATCTTAAAAGTCCAAGACAACAACTAAGGACATATTGTGAAATTTAAAAAAAATACAGTATTTTTAAATCTGAGTCTTAAAATGTGTAATAAACTTGCTCATGCAAAGAAAACAGAGGGAGTAGTAAAAATGGCTGGCACTTTAGCATATTAGAATAAATCATATGCAATTAGTCATAAACATGATGAGGGCAAGCAAATCCTAAGGTAATATTAGCACTTAATGATTTTTATTTTTATTTTTTAAGTTCATTAATCTATGTAACTGTTGTAGTAATCGATTAATTTTGTGTTGCCATCAACTATCCAATTTGAATAGCGCTGATTTAATATTTTACAAAATTATTATGAAAATATAAAATTAGAAAAATAACAATGAAATCCAAACTACTGATATTTGATTTAAATAGTTTATTATTTAATTAAAAAGAAAATAATTATTTTGTAAAATATTAAATTTGATCCCTTCAAAATTTGATTTAAATATTGATACGGGAAGCGAAAAGGAAAGGGACAAAATGATGTGGCGAAGCTGGGTACAATCAAGCATGATAATATGGCATGTAATCAAGAAAACAATTTGACAATTTTTTTGAGAAAAATGAAGGAAATAATAAAGTTAAAAATTAGTAAAAGTTAAAATAATATTTGTCCAAAAAAAAGTTAAAATAATGTGTGTAAAATTACTTGTACCATGTTTGGAAAATCATTATATATAGTAAGAATTAAGGAACTATAACCGTTTGAAAAATGACATGATAGCATAATCCAACTTCAGATTTTGCGTCTTGGCTTCTATGTATGATATGAATGATTCATGCGCCAAACATGCAGATCATGTGTGCTTGACATAAACAATTAAAGAAATGGAGTAAATATTTAATACTTTTATCATATATAAATTAAGAGATTAATAGGTCCAAATAAAATTAAAATATTTATTAAAATTACAGAGAAAATTGAAGTCTATAAGTTATCATCTGATCTTGTGAAGTTAATCAAATTTATGCTTATTGAAAAAAATGTAACTTCCTATAACATTAAAATTGTAAAAAATGTAACTTTCCAACTTTATCTTTCTTTACATAATACTTATAATAAATTATTGTCTAAAAATTTAAATAATAATAAGTAAATAAGAGATAAAATTAAAAAAATAATTACTCAAACTTTACCTTGTATTAATGACTAATTATTCCAAAAATCTAGAATAATCCTTGTAATCAAAGCGTTCTTTACATTCATTGTTCCTTTTAAAAAAAAATTAATATTTTTTTAATATTATATGATAACATTTTTTATAATTATTTGATTGAATCCAATTATTATTGTGGTGTCAAATGAGAAATTACCATCCATCGGATTCTAATCCGTAGTGTTCTTCAATTCCTGTGCCATTTATGAAGCTTGAAAATTTTGGTGACAACGCACGCTTACAAGAAAAGAAACAAAGGAACCGACTTTGTCATTCTGGGGCCCACAGAGACTCCATTTTTATTATTATTATTATTATTATTATTAGAAAAAATTAATCTTTTAGTCCTCCAATTTTTAATTCACTTGTAACTCAATCCCTCAATTTTTGAATCACTTACAATTTAATCCCTCAACTTTTGTTAATTTTTTTCATGTTAGAATAATATATGAACATTTTTTTTATCTCTCTTATTTGATAAAAAAAATTTAAAAAAAAATAAAAAATAAGGATCAAATTATAGGTAAATCAAAAGTTGAGAAACTGAATCGCAGCGAGTTATAATTGAGGAACTAAGTTACAAGTGAGTTAAAAGTTTGGGATTAAAAGATTAATTTTTTCTTATTATTATTATTATTTCGGAGATTCCAAGCTTAACCAGGGCAAGGTTGGGTTAACTTTTGACCACCCTCATGAGTTTAGACCCGTTTGACCATGAAATACTGAAATAGTGAAATGAATCATCACTATTATTATATTCACAAAAGTTTCAGCCTTTATGAGTTTCACAGTTCCCCAGAACAATCTCCGGGTTGATTCAACAAACAATCACTGTAATAAACTAATAATAACCAATAAACTTGTTACATTCTTCATTTCCTTTTACGTACATGAGTAAATAAGCATGCTCATCGATATCATACATGATGTGAAGCTACCTGGGCATTAGTGTTGAGTTGAAAACTGTGCGTCACATAATAGAGACGCGCACACGCCCATCGCCACCATATCAACTGGAATCGCCTTTTTCTTGAGAGGTCTCTGTTCTTCTTTGTCTGTTCTTTCTTTCTTTCTTTCTTCCCTCTCTTGCCTCATCAAACTAATCCAACCTGATACAGCTTGTTGGAATCGAAAAGTGAAAACCCATCATCAACAATCATGGCTTTCTTGGTGTATTTACTGCTTCTCTCAATCTCAGCCTTGATTGGCCAGTCAAGTAAGCGATCCTGGTTTTCTGTGCCCATATGGTGTTTGTGTTTTTTCCTCAACCAGATTTTGATGATTATGAGATTTGGGTTTTCACCATGTTCTTGTCTTTGTGAGATGGGTTTTGTGTTTCGATTAAAGAGAACTCTGAAGCCTGCTTTTAAGATCAGAAAGGGCTAGAGAAAAAGGTTTGATCTTGTGGGGACTAACCTGTTCTCTCTCTTGAACAGGTGCTCTTTATTGTGTATGCAAAGATGGTGTGGGTGATCAAGTGCTTCAGAAAAATATAGATTATGCTTGTGGAGCTGGAGCTGACTGTACTCCAATTCTTCAAAATGGAGCTTGTTATAACCCTAACACTGTGAAAGATCACTGTAACTGGGCTGTTAATAGCTATTTTCAGAAAAGTGGTCAAACTCAGGGAAGCTGTGATTTTGCAGGCACGGCCACAACAAGTGCTAACCCACCATGTAAACTACACTACCCTGAATTCCTGATCCTCCAAACTATTTTTTTGGGGACTCAAGCTTGAGGGATTTTAGTTTTACTGTTTCTAATGCTCTCTCTCTCTCTCTTGTTCTTGTGGCCTTTTTCTCATTGATCTGCAGCTACTTCATCTTCTTGTGTTTATCCCTCAAGGTATGTCTCCTGATTTTGGATCTTCAGTCTTTTGTTCTGTAAATTGGGTGGAAGTGGGAAATCCCTTTTTTATCTTTTTTTTTTGGTCTTTTTTTGTTCTTTTTTAAATATAAAATTGGGAATCTTGTTCAAACCTGATTGATCTTTCCCAGTTTTTATTCAATAATCTTTTTGCAAGAAACCAATCCTCTGTTTTTCATTCATATCCTCTTGTTATGTTCTATTTTGCTGCCATTATTAGCATACAAAAAGGATTTCAAGAACGCTTCTCAAACTGATTTGTTTTGTAAAAAAGAAGACAGAAATAAAGACATGTTTTTGGTTTGGTTTGGTTTGGTTGATCTATCTACTTTCCCAGATTCTGAAGTATAAAAAGTTTCAGCTAAAAGGTCCTTTTCCAGATATACCATCATGTTTCTTGCCTGACACAACAAATAATCTCAATTAACTGGCATGTGATCTGGATGTTTCATCAGTAATTTGTCTTGTTCTATCCTCTCACGTTGTTGTTGACCCAAGATCTGCCCTAAAAACTACATTTGATCAATTAGGGTCCGGATACTTGGTATATAATCTTGTTGATCAATTAGTTAGCTTCTTCTTGCAGCAACACAGGCACCCCAACAACTGGTACACCAGGAACATCTCCTTCCACCATCTCACCACCAACCGGCACCGGAACAGGAACCGGTATTGGAACCGGCACTGGCACCGGCACCGGCAATGGGAGTCCTGTGTTTGGAATTAGCCCATCAGCATCTACATCACCATTCAACGATGGTAGCAATGGGGGAAAGATTCTTGTGGAAGGCACTAAACTACTGATTCCTCTTGTTTTTACCTTGTGGTTATCTTTTCTCAGATTCTAAAAGGTACAGTGCTTGCTGTTATTGTACGCTAGGATTGATGTTGTTGGTGTTGTTGTTATTATTTTATTTTATTATTAGAAGGAAAATACTGGTGGGGTTTGATTTGTGGATGAGATTTTGCCACTGCAGAGGATGGGTAGTCATGTAAATTTATTTTCTGATTTGAGAGAGAATCATCCAGAAACAATACCTCAATTGGGTTAAGCTAGAATTTGTTTGGTTTATTATTGTTATTATTATTTTTTATTTTTCTTACATTTCCCCCCTGTTTGTGTATCTGTGGGAGGCAGTATTTTATATTAAAAAAAATTAATGAAATTTTAGCCACATAAAATTGATTGATTATTCATTCTAACGGCCGACGTGTCGTTTTCAGCTGATGGAGACGTTGTATTCTTTTATGCGCTTGTCAATGCAAGTACGTGGCGTGACCCCTTTTGTTTAGAGAGAATTTCATTTATGAATTAGAGACGTGATTGATTTATTCACAATAAGATCAAAAGATAAAATTGAAATCATCTTTATATGTGAAGTAAGTAATAAGTCATTTTTCCATTTTTTATATGGTATAAACAAGTTACAAAATTAATAAGTGTTGTGAAATTAATTAATAAAGTCATATGATTAATAAGTAATATAGTTTATTTAAGAGTTGTTGATTTAATGAGTGAAGTAATTAATAAGTCATATTGAAGAATTAACAAATAAAATTACTTAACAAATGATATAATTCAGTTGAGTGTGTTAAGTAAAATTAAGTAATTAATAAATTTTGCTAAAAAATTAATAGAAAAAATATAACTTTTGATTCTTGTAGTTTGTTTATATTTTGTTATAGATACTTGTATTTTTTTTCAATATTTTGGATCTTCATAATTTTATTTTTTGGTGTTTTAGGATCTTAAATGATTAAAATGATTAAAGTATGAAGACCTTAAATGAACATAAAATATTAAAAATAAAAGTTTAAGAAAATACGAGTAAAGTATAATGATTAAAAGTTAAGTTTTTTTAAATTAATAAATAAAGTCACAAATTAAAGGGCATTTTGGTCTTTTAAAAAAATAATTTTAATTTATCTTTTATTCTCATAATGTAATTTTAAATTTTATTGAGTTTGATTTGTGAATAAGTTAAATGCAAAGAGTCAATTTAAAAGTTTGATAAATGAGATTGCAATCACTGTGCTGCGTGGATCGAACAATTAATTAATTAATAATTGAAGAATGACAGAGATCAGGTGGGTTTTTTCTTCCTCTTGCGTTGTGTGGGGCAGATTTTGTTGGTTGGAGACGAATGTCAGAATAAGTTTGTTTGACTGATATTACTGTGTCACCGACAAATATGAAATAATTTAAGGCTATGCCTATGGCTTACATTATTGTACTAACATAGGACTCTACAAAGGCATCAAAGGCATCAAAGGCTATAAGAGCCGGGCATGACAAGGTACCTTCTTGAGTACTGTATTTTTTAAATGCTAGCCTTGAAAAAATTGACAATTTTAGTACAAAAAAGCTTTAGGGAATTGAGCTTAGCAAGCTACTGAGACTTTATATTTTTTTTATTATTTTGCTTATATAATTTAGATTTTGAAATTAATGAATAAGAACAATTTAATTTGTTATATATTTATTTTAGGTAATAAAAAAGAAGTGAGTGAGGTTGTTGAAAAAACGTCGCCTCCTCCAAGTATATTTCTCTCTAAAAAGTCTAATGCCTTTTTTTTAAAAAAATTAAAATGGATGATGATAAGAAATAAAGAATATACACATTTTAAATATTTGATTAAAGTAGTATGTAATTTATATATATGTATGAGTATAATCCGAAAGAGCCAACACTAACTTTTACATTTTTTTATGAGTAAAATTAAAAATTTTAAAAAATTTGAAGGGACCAATGAAATTATGGCGGAGGCAAGCACCCTCTTGCCCTTTACATATGTATTTGAGTATAATTTAAAATTTTAATCTTAAAAAAATTATGAGCTTTTGACTTCGGCCCTATCAATAAGGTTGCTTGATAAAAGTAATGATATTAAGATAAGAGGGCTTATGGATTTAAGTGCCAAGTTTACATTTATTGACAGCTTTATATTATCTTAACATATGGATCGTTTAAAATTTATATGGGTGGTTTGGGTTTAAAATTTTTAAATGATAAAATTATTTTTAAAAAAAATATGACAATGAAAAAATTATCTTTATTTGAAATCAATCATGTGCCTTTTAAAATAATAAAATCAAATTAAATCTACACCATTCAAATTCAAATTTAATCCGTAAAGTCCACATGTAAGAAGAGCACCCCATGAACATGGAATATGCTCTCTCTGTCTCCTGAATCACCGACTCGCTAGAAAGTTTAGCTATCAATATCACTTTATGTTAATATTATATTTTTCTTTTCTAAATCCCACACATAAAAAAATGAATTTAGTTTAACATGAAATGTAACAGGTAAATGAAATATTATATTAACAACAAAATTAGGTGTTAAACAAATAAATGGTCGGTGGCTACGTAGTTATGAAGCCACATTCAATTAAGTAGTTGGTGTGAATAATCTAGACAAGTGAAGCATTTCACCGCTTAATTTAATTACCACGTGTATTAATTAGATCTCCCTTTCAATATCCCACCAAAAAAAACAAAAGAAAAGAAAGAAAGAAAGTGTTGCTAATTTTAGTATTTCAGTTACTTGAAAAGAACATGAAGTATAATAAATTTATTATTTTTATAATATAATTCACATTAATAAATTTTTTTAAAAAATTAAATCTGAATATACCTAACAATTTTGGATGCTAGTTTAGTATAAACTAATAGATCTAACATACGTTTTAAAACCACTTGATTTGTGTTAGTATTCTGAAACTTAAGTAAATTAGAGCTTGTGTCAATTAAAAAAAAAAGTAAATTAGAGCTTGTTTGATATCTTAAATTAGGGTAAGTGTTTTTGAATTTAACTATTTTCAAAAATGTCTCATTTTTTGTTTTTAAATAAAAAGAAAAATATTTTAAAATTTTTTTCATTTTTTTTTGCTTCCAAAATATGTTACACTAGATCATTAAAAAGTAAATTAATCATGACCGGTCACTATATAAACCACTATTATTAACCTGCAGCAATCATTACTATTTTTTTAAATTGTAAAACTGTTTTTAAATTAACACAAAAAACATATTTTCTTTATCTTTTGTTTTGCATAATATTTAAAACATTATATTGTAAAAAAAATTTAAAAAAAAATGAAATACACAACCAAATGGGTCCTTACAATGCCAGCCATATACTTTATAATTGCCTAATTCCCCAGATAAATGAACTCTATCTGAAATGGGCGAATAAAACTAGCAAACGCTTCTATGTAGTTCTATATATAAAACCACATCCTAAAAGAGATTGATGATTATAAATCACTTTGTACATAAAAAAATGGATTATAAATTAATCTATTTTAATTAGGAAAATTATTGTTAAGGAACTGAAGAAAATAATATTTATTATGAATGACTATAAAAATTAAAATTAAGATAAAGGACCCGTATAAATGTTAGTAACTATTATAACATTAATATAAACCCTGTTCATGGTACTGTATAAGTTACAAAAAAAAAATCTTTTAAAGATAAAGTTGTCCGGATTTCAATTTCACACAAAAAAAAGGATTAAATTTCATTAAATCAATATATTTTAAAAAATAATTAATTTTTAAATAATTAATTTTACAAAAATTAAACCAATGTAATTTAAAAATATTTATTTTTTAAAAAATTACTACATTTTATTTTTTTCATTGGTTTAAAAGCATTTTTACTGTCAACTTATATTTATAAGACTTATTTTTTTTATTTACCAATATCAATAATGTAACTTTCAAATTCAATTTGAGATATGGTTGGAGAAAATGTATGAAATTTAACTAGAGGCAATTTTATCTTTTAAAATTTATATTTTGGTATTTAGTCCTTCTCAATACTTACTATTTTTCAAGATCCTTTATAATAAAAGAAAATTAATCAATTAGTTCTTGTAATTTTGACCCACTTGTAACTCATTTATTTAATTTTAATTTATTGTAACTCAATCATTATAGTTTTAACTCAGTAGTTTAACTCAGTTGTAACTCAATTTCTAAATTTTGCCCCTTATAATTTAGTCTCTATAGTTTCAAAAACTTAAGTATTGATCCATATGTTTTAAAAAATAAAATTATAAAGATTAAAAATATATTAAACTTTTAATATTTATAATATTTAAAGACTAAGAGATTAAAACTATAATATTTTGAAATTGTAATATTTATAAAGATTAAAAGGGTTTAATAATTTAAAATATTAATAATAAATTTTAAAAATATTATAAATATTTTTATTACTAATAATTTTAATTCTAATATTATAAATATTATAAATTTTAAAATTTTAAAATATTTTTAATTTTTGTAATTTTATTTTTTAAAATATAGAAACTAATATTTAAGTGGTTGAAACTATAAAGACTAAATTGTAAGAGGTAAAATTTAAAAATTAAGTTACATTTGAGTTAAAAATATAAAAAATGAGTTACAAAGAGTTAAAATTGAGAAATTGAGTTACAAGTGGGTCAAAACTACATAAACTAAATGATAAATTTTTCCTTATAATAAATATGATTTTGTTCCAGGTTTTTAGCAATAGTTTTTCCATTTTAATTTCACCCATTCACAATTTTTTTATGAGTAGAGTAAAATATTGCATATGAGAGAGAAAATATTTCTAAAATGATAGATTCAATAAGGATAAATTAATAAATTTCTTTATTTTTTTGGACATTATCAATTATTTGACTACATCTCTTTAGTTGTGGTGAAGTTGTTAGAAATGATTTATATGTATGATTTGATGGAGTGCATATATATATATATATATATTTAAGGTGTAGTTCTTAAGGAAAAATTTATACTTAGCATTATATATTTAAGGCACTTATTTTTAATTAAATTAAGACATGCGTATTATTTATATATTATTTATTCTATAATAAATTCTTATTCTTAATGTCATCAACACATTAAAATTCACTTGTTTTAATTTTATTGGATAAAAGTAGATAAAATATATAAAATTAAATATTTAATTCTTGCCTTATTGTATATACTCCCTTCGAACAATGATATAAGTTATTTTTTAAAAGTTTTATTTAGTTCAAAATATAAGGCATTAAAAATGCATTATATATATATATATATATATATATATTTCAATTACATTTTTGCTTTATTGAGTAATTAATGAGAGTGTTTTGAATGAGTTATGTTATATTTATTACACTCAAGGACACAATTGAAAATATGTAATTTTTTTAAAATAAAGATTTTAACTAACTTTGTTTTTGGAAACATAAATTAGTTTTTTTTACCTACATGTATCTTTTTATTGAAGACAATTCAATTCAAGACACTGTCAAGCACTAAATGTGGGTACTTCTCTTCTCTCAACGTAAATTCAAAACATTAGTTCATCATATTATGAGGAATTAATCCCTTATGCTAAACCCAATTTTTGTTTGTTAGAAATGTAAATTAATGAAAAAATTAATCATTTAATCCCTATAATTTTGATTCAATTATAACTCAATATTTAAACTTTGACTTATTATAACTTAGTCTTTATAATTTTAACTTAATTATAACTTAATTCCTAAATTTTGTCTCTTATAATTCAGTCTCTATAATTTTAATCACTTAAATATTGATTTATATATTTTTAAAAAAAATAAAATTATAAAGATTAAAAATATTTTAAAATTTTAATATTTATAATATTTAAAGATTAAAAGATTAAAATTATAATATTTTAATATTTATAATATTTATAATATCAGCAATAAAATTATAAAGATTAAAATTATGTTAAAATTTATTACTAATATTTTAAATTATTAAACCCTTTTAATCTTTATAAATATTATAAATATTAAAATTTTAAAATATTTTTAATCTTTATAATTTTTTAAACATAAGGATCAATAGTTAAATGATTGAAATCATAGGGACTCAATTGCAAGAGGTAAAATTTAAGGATCAAGTTACAATCGAGTTAAAACTATAAAAATTAAATTACGACTTAAAATTTAGAGATTGAGTTATAATTGAGTCAAAACTATAGAAATTAATTAATTAATTAACAATAATTTAATGGAGGTTTTTTGGGGAGGGGGGTTGGAGATTTTCAAACTGTATGCGTGTGACACTGACATACTAACAAGAGAATAATCAAATAGGAGATCGCAAACCTAACCAAGCACCGTCAATAATCCTCCCTGATGACCTCTATGTGGAAGCCATGTTTAGGTCCCCTTGGTTTTATTTTGCAGTTTTTTTCGTTTATAGCTTTTATTTCTTCTGCCCCTGTATCAAATAATAATAATAATAATAATAATAATAATAATAATTATATTTGAGGGATTACTTTCAAGGATCTTAAAAAGATTTTCTTGTTTGGCTAGAGAGTCTCACGGCTTAAGTATAACCTAAAGGTTTGATCATTGTCCAAACCAAGACATCTCATCTCATATCCCTCAAAAGCCAGCAGCAACTAATACACACCTTGAGACATGAAAAGAACACATTCGAAAGAACTCCTCAGAGTCCTCTCTATTTATAGCCTGTTTGGTTCATTGAATGGTAGCTAATGAAATGTAATGTAATGGTGGAAAATAGAATGGAATGAAATTTGATAATGATTACGATAAATTTGTTTGGTATCACATTAGGAGTGTTGAAAAAAAATGAGAATTTTTATATTTATTTTAATTTAATAAGGAAAAACATTATCATTGGTCCTTATAATTGTACTAAATTTTGCCTTTTGTATCTATAGTTTTTTTCCAATGTTTTCAATCCTTACATAGACAAAAAACACTGAAAATATAAGGATCTGAGTAACAAATGTCACCCAATCTTACTAAAATTGTAGGGATTAAAAATATTTAAAAAAAATTACAAAGACTAAAAACAAAACCCAATAAAACTACAGGGACCAATAATTATATTTTCCCTTTTCACAATTATGAAAATGAAAATACTAAAGTACCCTTAACACAATCCCAACTCCTTCCCTTGGACCACCCTCTTGTCATGGTCAAAGTCCAGAAACACACTCCAAGAAAAGGTCAGTAACAGCAACGCATATAAGAAATCCAGAAATGCAAACACAGACGGAGGAATGCAACATGAAAACAAAAACCGAAATTGCAGTGTGTGAGATTTTTTGCGACAAATGGAAACGACGTCTGTGAACCTTGGTGCTTTTGATTAAGATACTTAAATCGGGATGAAGACACTCTACTATGAGATTCTGGAATTAACAATTTTTGGGCAGCAGCAGAGGTAGCAGAGGGAGGCGATAATGACTCTGGCAGCGATGAGGAAGGACGCTGTCAGCCAGGCACAGTGAAAGAGGATGTTGAGGGCATGGGTGAGAAAGGGTAGTGATGTGGGTGGCTGGAGGGGTTGACGGCGAATGCAGAGGAAGGTGACAACTGGTGATGAGGTTCAGGCACAATGTGAAGACGAAGGAGAGGAGGGATATTTGATTAAATTTATGGGAGGAAATGAGGATTACATGTAATTTTTTATGTAATCTGGATTATATTAAGTAATGAACTTTACAAGTAAAATGACAACCGAACGATTCACAGATGGGAATTGCTTTAGGATCATCAGGATTACATGTACCCCTTACATGTAATCCATCCAAACGAGCCATTACATGATGAATACAGTGATGACGACGGCAAGAAACTATGTTCCACTAGGTGAGATCAGTTATTTAGATTGCACGACATCATTATACTTTATCAACAACCAAGCCAAGTACAAGAAATTATGTAGACGACTTGTTTAGAGGGACACAAGAGAATGTAATTATGTATGAGACTGCCATCCTGAGTCTCACTGCTCTACTTTTCTTCCATCTTTATCCTGATGTACCCCCCCTTCCCCAAAATACTAATTCATTGAATGAAGAACCTCGAGGCATAAATGTCAATTTTAAGTTCTGATATTTGTTCAATGTGAGATATATACATTGTCCTCGTGGGAAAAACTTCAAAGACTGTCCGATTCCAGTTCCCCAGAGTGAGAAATATGATTGAGCAATATATCATCTCGTAAATCAAATTCAAGTTATGGATCCAACTATAATAGGCAATAACTATAATTAATATTTAATGTCACAAAAAAAAAATTAATATTCAATACATCTTATGCTTCTATAATAGTTCTATCACGTGACGATTCCTTTGCCACAAGCTGATTTACCTTGCTGGCCTCCCTCTGAACAAACTCAGCTATTAATTTGACAACAGAATCTGGCTTTTCAACATGAGGGAGATGGCCACAATTGGCTATCTGGCGTATAGTTGCATCAGGTAATTCGCAGTGCAGTCTCTGCAAAAGTTTTTTTTTAACTTTGACACAGAATATCATCGCCTTACTAGTAGTCAAATAAACTGAAAGAAATTAGATTTGAATAAGCAGCCTAAGTTCACTTACTCAATGAGTGTCTCAATTACAGCTACTGAATTTTATCGGTACTTTAAAATTATCAAGATATAGTTTCATCCAACAAAAATTTGAATTTTGATCTGATAATTTTTTGATTAAATAAAATGGTTATTATCGTGTCACGCGAAACATTGAGTAAGTGGATTTAGGCCACTCACTAGATCTAAATCTGAAGAAATTAGATCCCTGTGCTTCAGAAACACGAGTTCCAGACACAAAATAATCCCATATCTTGTGAATCACATGTTTGAGAAAGAGTACAATATGGAAACTAACCACGGCAAGCTTATTGCTGATGATACGGTCATTCTCACCCCAAATGATCAGTGTTTTTTGCTTTACCTGTTAAGCACAAGTTATAATATCCCACAAAAATGAGGAGGCAAACTGCTTTACTCAAGAATAAGGGACTTTTCTATAGTACGAATATCTATCCAATTGAATATTTAAACATGTCTATGACATTTACCAATCGCATTTGATTAGCTTTCTGGGAAATCAATCCCCTCCCTTGATCCTCGATTTAAAACTTACATCTAACTGTTTTCCGAACCGAAAACGATATGCTTTTGGTCTGCCGTAAAAGTAGCTGACTGCAATACTGTTTTGCTAAGAATGAAAACATGGGCAGATAAAAGCTATCATAAAACAAAGTTTCTACATGTCCCATTGGAAAAATTACCGGTTATAGAAGTTCCAGCACTCAACAACTTTTTCACTAACATTTGCTGACTCAGACTATAGAAATGATAATTGGTACACATTTTCTTAAAATATAAATAACTAAATTTGGAAGTATATAATATATCTGTCTTCCCCTTCAAAAATGTAAAATTCGTATAACTGCTTCATTCGACAAAGACAGTAGTGTGAAGCATACATATGGAAATATTTTCTAGGGACCGCTAAAATGATGAGTTATATAGGAGCAGTTGGGGAACGAACATAAATAACATGACAAGTCTCATGGAATCATCAATTATCAAAAGGCGCATGCTTCATGGGCCCTGTCGAGTACTCGAATTTTAAGCCATTAATCTGTATCAATATGCTTCTCTTTGGGCCCTAAAGCATGCCCTAGCCCTAGTGAACTCATGGGACCCAATTCACCTAAACTTTTAGCAATAAAAAATAACATGCTTCTCTTTTCTAAACACCAACACACCACGAAACAATGCCTCATTAACTTGTAATGCTAAAGGTACCTTTCCTATTTGGGAAGCAACATTATAACCACCACTAGTCATAAAATCCACAGTAGCATCCTCCCACCAAGGCAACAAACAATGCAAACGGCCTACCTATATAAATATTATATAAACACCGTGATTTCAATTTTGAAGTGTCAAAGTATATCATAATTGATCAGTATGAGAGTACCGCACACAATGCAGGAGTGCTAACACTTAATACATGTGGGAGATTTGGACTCTCAACGATTCCATGCTCAATTTTTTAGGTTCTTGAGCATGAAATGCCAAGATATCCATCAGCTCATGTGACAAATATCCAGTTATGAAATTCAATGATTCAAATATCCAAGCAATACGTTATATGACAGGAGGTATATTAAAAATTGGGAAACTCACATTAGTCCCATCAAGGCTAGTATTGAATGATAAGTCAGAAAAGGTCAAATAGTTTGCATATAAGCGTAACGGGATGCTCTTCAACAAATACGCCTGATTCAAAAGTGTACCAGTAGTGAGTATAACAAAGAATAACTTCAGCTTCTAATCAATTCTATCCTCATATATTGACTGGGAGGGAAAAAGGAATACTGTAGAAGCTAACATTAAAAAAAGGCACAGAAAATATTTTAAACATTATATAAAGAAATACAGAAAAAGAAAATATAATCTAGGCAGAAAAAATTTCTGAAATAAGTTTCCAGATAATAGCTGAGGCCAAGCAGTTGAGGCTTTAGTATTTTAGTAACAGATGATTACCCCAGCATAAGCTACAGCTTTAGGTAAGGTTGCCAGGTTTCCTGTTCCCTCTGCATATACACTAGCAGCAATCAAAACAAGCTTTTCCACCTGTAAAGATGAACTGCAAATAAATTCTCGTTGCATGTCATTGTCACTAAATGAAGCACCCTTTTTGTGCAGCAGAAGTTTTCCCAAATTCAGTTTATGGGGGATATTCAGAAGTTAATTATTGGATGACACATACAGCTTCTGGATAAGTGACTGCAAAGTCAATGGCAACAGCAGAGCCAAGGCTTGGTCCAACTAATATCATAGGCCTTCTGATGTATGAGTTCCAAAACTGTTGATAGAACAACTTCAATACAATGAGCAATGATTGGCAGGAAATCAAAAGAGAAGAAGAACAAAATTAATTGACAATCAGTGAACAGCCATTTTAGGAAGCACCAATATGACTTTCCTGCAAGCATACCTATCCCTGGTACAAATTGGTGTGCCATGCACATTGAGTAATGATTGTGCTAAAATCAGGGTTTGTGATGTTTTTATTATTATCCTTTTCACGTCAGTAATACCACTATATATACCTATTCAAACATAAAACGTCAGCAAACTTTCCAATTTATTCATCATATAGGTTCGCATATGATACATTTGCTCTTTCTGGTGCTCTAAAGCAACTGTTTCTTCAAAAAATAAAAAATAATTGCCTAATGATCAAGTAAATGCCTATAATGTAACTGATTTATCATTTCATTTTACATAATTTTCTTTGGTAAAATTTCATTTCACATTATTAGTAGCAAAGGCAAGCAATTTAAAGAATTAGAGTTTAACAAAATTATATAATGCTTCACATTGACCACACTGTTACAACTATCAACTAAATTGTAATGTCCCTTAGAATGCACAAGATTTAATGAATACATTGAGAAACATGTTGGTACCTGATAGAAGTGATCACGTTTTGATACAACATCACATGGTGGAAGTTTTTCTGATGGATAAAGAAGAAAGGATGGATAAAATCATGACTAATCTTGCAATGGAAGATGTAGAAAAACAAAGGTGAAACAAAAAAGCAGACCTAAGTCAGAGAAACCCCAACCAAGAATGTCAACAGCCCAAGCCTCAAAACCAGCTTCCTCAAGCAATGGATATGTATATCTCCATTCCAAACATGAGCTGAATATTAAGAAAGTGTGAAATCCGGAAGCAATTTAAACACAAAGTATATCACCTAGTTCTGTCTCTTAGTTAAAGAACCTGTCAAAACCATGTAGAAGAACTATTGGATTTTTCTTGTTCTCCTTCAGTGGCTTCACACAACTACTCATTATCAGATTTTCTGAGAACTTCACCTGCTTCGACCATATGGACTAGATCAGCAGTTTATAAGCAGAAAAGGATTACTGTCATATCACACTGGGGAATGGGGAGAATCAGAAATTACGCAAACTTAAAATTTATCAAATTATCAAGAAAATTTCAAAGTGAAATCATTTGGCAAAATTTTTCCAAACCAAAGCAATTTGGCAGTTAAATTACACTTCAGGGGATCAGAGTATGAAAGTAATCGGGGACAACCTATACAATCTAATTTCAAAGTCTCAAAAGGCAGCCTAGAGATCCTAGCAACTAAGATAAGGACATCCTTTCTCCAGGAAAAAATGTCAATTGCTATACATACTACAAGTAACCATGGCATCACACTCATAATTGAACCAAGTTCTGCTTAGAAGGAATACACTCAAAGTTTATGGGAACCACAAGACCAGCTTTTTCACTGACATCCCTTGTTCATGAATTTCAAGAGACGAAGTAATAGTAGACCAGTCTAACGGTTATGCTTCAAGTCCAAAATGCTTTTAGAGACACGAAAGTAACGCATAATCCTTCTAGCTGAGTTAGCAGTTTTAGGTCCAGCTGTTTGTTAACCGACACCAAATTAAACAACTTTAGGCTTTTAACATTATCATAATAATCGTCTGGTCCAAAAAAATAAAAAAAGACACCATCATAATAATCTTTGATAATCTAACTCCTTTACAAGGCAGCCACAAAGATAAATACCAAAGGAAAGAAAATCATAAACGAACGCCCAACTTAGAAGAAGCCCAAAAGGGCGGTGAAGCAGGACAAGCCCACACCTAATGCACGAATTCATAAACAGGAACACACGAAATTTCCACTGAAATGGTGAAATACAAGAGTAAACGTAGAAATTACAGGGACAGGTAGTCTCTGAATCCTCTTGGCTAGGTTTCGAGCAAATGGGTCTTTGATTTTCTCCACCTCTTTGGGAAGAAACGAAGGGAACCCATCAGCCACAACCCGGAAACGCCTTAACATTCGACAACTAGTAGGCATAGCTGATGCACCGAGAGAGAAAACTTGCATGTTTGTGATTGCAAAGCGCAAACTGAGTTAAGCATTGGCAACGAAGACGGTGAGCTTTTAAGCGCGAGTTCAGACAGTGAAACGAAATCCGAGCGAAATAAACCACGATATTCACACCTGAAACCTTCTCCTCGTGTTTCAAATTTCGATATTTTTTTTAATAACAAATCTCGATATTGTTTATACTTTACATGGTAAATGACGATTGAAGACCACCATCAGTTCATCAAATGATCATCCATTTTATGTTTTTATGGCACTGGACCCATCCGTACGTTTCAGTGCCACTTGCCTGAAATGGCTTTGTCTTTAACTTTTTCTATGTTAAAAAGGCATAATATTAATTAAAATTTAAGAATACGTGGTCAGGCTCTGCTCCAAAACTCTCTTGTTTTATTTGCTGTCGGGTCTTGTTCTCTTCAAGGGCATACGTCATTCTTTGACTTTTCGCCAAAATCAGCATCGGGACATCCGATATAGGTTTTGATAATAATAAATATTAAAAAAGTTGATTTTTTTTTTTTTGGCCAGAAAGATTATTCATTAAAGATCAAGTAATTACATCAGAGTAAGACATAGAATCTAAAGAAAGCAAGTCATAGAGTCTAGAGAGAGCAAGTCAGATAAAAGGAAGGAGGACAAAGATTCCACCCAAAAGGACATACCTCCTTGAGACATTCTTTACCTAACCAATCATTAATTAAATTAGTAGATCTAGGGATCTAATAAATGGACCAAGAATTATTAACCAAAAGGAGCCGCAAACATCAGCAAAAAGGACAGTATAGGGTCATTCTGGGCAAGTGTGACCAAAATTCATTGCATCTACAAAGACTTTACAATCTAATTCAAATGTAATTGTCTGGAAGCTGTATTGATTAGCAAGGGAGAGAGCTTTGGAAAGTGCAGAAGCTTCACTCATGAAAGGTGAAGTAGCACGAATTCTTTCTCCAGATACAGCAAGAAGACTACCATAATGATCTCTAGAAATGACTCCAAGACCCGCAATGCTAGAATCAAAATAGTAAGAAGCATTAAAGTTGCACTTCACAGCCCTACATCTAGTGGTTTCCAGTTTTCCTTTCGAACCACTTCCATGCATTGGCTGTGATCATGTTGAGTAGTATTGCACCAGACATTGACAGACCAAAATTCAAGAAGAGCATCCTCAGCATGCTTGGAAGTTTCTAGAGGTCGAAGAGGGAGTTTGTCAAAATAATGAGCACATCTATTTTTCCAAATATACCAACAGGTCATAGCAAAAAGAGCTGAATGCCAATCATCAGTAATGGGATTTGAGCAAAAATCAAGAAACCACCTATCAAGTCGCGTCATATTGGAGCTATCAATTTTTAGGCCTAAAGATGAGGCAAACCAAACCTTGTTAGACCACTCACAGAGAAGGAGTAAGTAAGAGTAAGTGTTCATAAGTTTTTGGGAGGCGCTTACAGTATTGACAGAGTAGATCAGACCTACAATGATGTCTCTAAAGGTTTTCATGTGAGGGTAAGGCATTATTAAGTAGTCTCCAGAAGAACTACTTAACACGCCTAGGAACACGAAGTTTTCCAGAGAACTTTCCAAATGTGCTCATGCAGATGAAAAGAGGAACCTGCCTTTATTGAAAGAGTAGGTTGTTGAAGGAAATTATAGCCATTCTTCACCGTATATAAGCAATTTTTGCTTCCAAGCCAATGGGGCCTATCAAAAGGGAGACGAGCAGAGAGGGGGATGCTTCTAATATATTCTTTTTCAGAGTCGATAAAGTAATCTTCTAGAATAGAGAGATCCCAAGCACCATTAGTTATTAATAGATTGACACAGAGAGTTTTTTGCTTCTTCAACAGGAGGCATCTTCAATGGTTTCACATGCATGTATTTTATTGCAATTAATATATAACTGTATAGGGTAGGTTTTATCTTAGTTACTGAGTGGCTAGACTCACCCTTTTCATTTAATACTTTACAGGCTCTAACTTTAGTGCAGAGAGGGAGAAGACTCAAGAGACTAGGAATTAGTTCATTCCTACTGTATGCCTCTAGATTATGTTTATTTTGTGTAATAGAATATTATTACCAATTCTAGGTTGCATATTGTGTGTACTTGCACTATTTTGTTGTTGCAAATATTTGAATTATATTTTGGGCCTTGAGTATTTGTGTATGATAAGATATATATGTTGATACAGTCAAAATACTAGTGCAAGTGTAAAAATAATGTTTTGAACATGTTATGATTGATTTATGAGTCAATGCAACAAAATTACCTCTCCTTTCTATTTTTCTTTGGTGGAAAAGGGATTGAAGAGTGATTTGTATTATATTGTTAATTAAGTGTGCATGACATGTTGTACTGATAGTTTTAGGTCTAATGGATATGGTCCAAGTGTTAGGAAAGGCTTTTGACACTTGTTGTACGTTTGGACACCTCTTGTTTGTGAAAAGTTGTGAAAAGTATCAAAATGGATTTGAATGTCCAACTTCCTGGTATGGCATGTTTTAGAAGTGAAATTTATATCATTAGCTAGTTTACAAAAAGAGCTTTCTGTAGATACTTAGATCATATCATTTGGACATCATACAAAGAATCGGGACGCATCAAAAGTTTCTCAATTTTGCTATCAAATGATAGAAAAATCTGCTATTATTAATGTGCAACATGCTGCTGCGCTTAGGCACTTGAGCCACGGTGCATGGCATAGAAAGCAACACGTTGTGGCACAGCGTGCACAAGCCACAACGCATTGCCTTATTTTGTAACACATAAGTTGTTTTTCAACTGTTTTTAATTTCTTTCACTCTTCTAAAATATCTCGTGCTTCCCTAACTTGTTTTTACTTTAACATAAGAGATTATAATTGATTTAAACTCATTTTAATTATGAAAACTTAAAATTCTTTATTTTAAAACTAAAACTTAGTTATCTCTTAATTAGGTTAATCTTTTAATTACCATGAGTTTGATTAGTTGATTGTGTTTAGTAGTGAAGGCTATTTCATGGCATGGGTATTGTTGGCCGCTGGGTAGTTTGTAGTTGCTGTGGAAGAGTGGAAGACCGGAAGGGAAAGTTCATCTTTACTCTCACAATCGTGTTACATCACATGGCCATGGAGGCGTGGAGGTGGAGGCAAAGACATGGAGCTGTGGTCTGTGCTGTAGAAGACTGGAAGAAGGGAAAGTGAAGTAGGAAGCTAAAAGTGAAAAATGAACATGAAAGTCACAAATGTCCTCCTGACCCTGAATTTAAAAACTGGTCTAAAAGACAAAAAATAATAATGGTTAATAATAATAACATACTTGTAATAAACGAGACATCCCATTGATGAACCTAAGTCCTGCCCGTCTCCATTTTGGTCTGTCCCAAAATTTCTATCTTAATTCTTTTTGGATTGAGATAAACTCATTCTAATATAATCGAGATGAGTATAAGTTGGCATGGGTTGGTCAGGATGGGTACAGCCTCCTCAACACTCTTAGTTAAAGATGGTGAACCGAAATGCAAGCGAAATAAACCACGCTGTTCACACCTGAAGCCTTGTCCTCGTGTTTCACATTTCGATATTTTTACTTAATAGCAAATCTCGATGTTGTTTGTACTTTACATGGTAAATGATGCTTAGAGACCCACCACCACTTCACTAAATGATTTGTCCTTTTAAGTTTTACAATCTCCGGACGGTTTAGTTCCAGAAATGACTTTTCTTTAGCATGAAAAGACAAATAATAATAATATTAATATTAATTAAAGTTGAGTATGTGATAGTGCCCTGCATCCGAAGTCCAAAACTTTCTTACGTTGTTCTTTCTTCTTTCCTTCAAAATGTGTCCTCTTTTTACCCAAAAAGAAAAAAAATGGTGTTTTCTTGATATAACCTATTAATATGATTAAAGTAGGTAACTTTGAGCAAGCTGTGCTTATAAACAAGTTCAAAAAGATAAGTCCAACCATAATCTTTTCAGGTTTCTACTTATTCAGCTTAGTTTAAATTGCCCTTTTTTTTTAAATTTTTTAAATACAGATTTCAATTTTTTTATTTTAAAATTAATTAGTTTTATGTTATAAAAATGTAGAATATTTTTTTACTTAAAAAATGTAGAAGACTCAATTTTTTTAAAAAATTTTTGTGGGTATTAAAGTTTAAAAATCAAGATTAAGATACATTTTAAATAATTTTTTTGAGATATTTTATAAATTAAAAATATAACAATGTGAATTTTTTTAGAAAATATCTCTAAATGTACTAAAATATATGGTCTCTTAGTATAAAATGAAATAAAATTTAAAGGATTAATCGATATTTAATATATTATATATTTTTTTAAAAAAAATTATTTAGCTATTTGGGCCAAGCTGAACATGATTAGGTTAGATTTAAATTTGTCGGGCTTATTCAAGCTGATCCAAATAAGCCAAAACATGGAAAAAAAGTATGTTTTTGCTAAGCTTGATCTCAATTTTTTTTGTTGGCTTATTAGAGCTGGCTTTAGGCTTGGCATTGAATTATTAACTCTAAATATGACCTAGGGCCTATTTGTTTGTTAGAAAAGAATAAAATAAAATGAATTAAAAAGATAAAGATAAAAATAAATTGATTAAAATGTGGTAAGGATAAAAGTCAACAGTAGGATCTAATTTTTAATTTTTTTAAAATTATTTAACCTTTTTTAATATTATTTTTTAAAATAATTTAATTTTCTAAAAATTGCTCTGGTTTCAAGCGCAATAATGGCTCAACACTGATCTAATTTGATTCATTCATAAAAATAATCTTGTAATCCAAAATAAATTATTAATAGCTTCAGTGGGTGGTTCGACGGTCTGTTGGATTTGGTTTTTCAATTATTGAGAATCATTAGTAGGGAACCTCCAAGAACGTGAATGATAGATGTCGGAGTCTGTAGCAGGAAGGTAACTAGTTCAAGGTTCGATGTACTTGCAGACTTGAATGGAGACAATAAAGAGACGTGCCTAATATGGAGAAGGATAAAGAAAAAAAAAAAAATTGGAAAGAAAGTTGGTAACAGTACAGCACAAAAGAGATAAGTTTAGGGCGGACAACCCCACCGAATAAGTTAAAGGATGTATGCACAGGATTGAATTGAATTTAACTCATGAGTTGTAAAAATCATAATCCAATCTATTCTTTGTGAGTTGGTTGGTCCAACAGACTAACCACTTTATTATTTTTCATAATCTTTTTTAAATTATATTTAAATGAGAAGTTCTATTATGATATTTCATACAATTAAAAAAATTAACATAAAAACATATGA